CCCCTTGCACCCCCGGCACGGCTCGGCCCTGAAAATATGTTACCATTGGATTTAGCTCTCATTTTCAAGCCTATGAGGTTACGAAAGCAAATCAAAGTACACTTATTATTTGTTCTTTTGAATCTTTAAAAAATAAAAACATTTATAACAATCATGTTTCGGGTAACGGCAGTTGCTTTATTTCAATGATTAAATAATAAGTTTTATTTTATGTTATTATTATTGGTATATGTTTTGTGCAATAAGATTGATTTATTTTTTTATTTTAAATATTTTTGTATGTTAAATCATATTTATGTTATTAATATTAGTATAGTATTTGTTGATATCAAACAATAAATGTTTTATTTTATTTAAATAATTTTTTTTGTAAACCTTATTTTCAGTCAATCTTCTAGTTTTCAACGATGCCAATATTTAGGCTTAAACTCCCCTCACATTGTTTAATTGTTAAATGCATGTTTTATTAATTAAAATCAAAAGCCCTACGTGGTAAGGGGACTTTAAGCTTAAATACTAACAACGCTGGTAGTTTTAGTGAAGATCAGAAGCTTTTGAATAAAGCAATACATACTATTGGATCAAAATATATTTGCTCTAAAATCAAAATAAAATGTGGTTAGGTCAATAGTATATGCTTTTGTAGCAAGACAAATTTTCTTTCTTAGAAAGTTCCTAAGCTTTTCAATTAAGAGATGCAGTTTTCTTGTTAAAATCCCATGTTTTTGCGCTAAAAAACGTTTTCTTAATTCAAAAGAGAAATATCTTCCGAAGAAATATTTTTGGTTCTTGTACCAAGAAATCGCTTGCTCTTGATTTAAGCTAATATTGTAATATCCTTCAACGAATAGATTAATCTTTTCCCTCAAGTAATTTTAAAAAATTCATGTAAAGATAGTTTCTGACTTAGATTAAGAAACATAGCTCTTGGCCCTATTCAAAAGCGCAAATCTCTTGAATCAAAGTGATTTTCATTTCTTTTAAGAGATTATTTTTTTCAGTGTAGTGCAACACTATGGTACAAGTCGTTAACACTGTTGGCACATTATTAAAATCGTCAGTAGTGTTGTACAGTGTTTAATAGTGTTTAATACTGTTGAACAGTGTTTTTCCGTAAGGGACCTTACATTTGATTAAATCATATAGTAAATATTACTATTTGTAGATAGTAAAACCAATTTACTATACGAACATATTAAAAATTAAAATATATATTATACATTTATGATTTAGTAATATTGGTGTTGTAATCTTTAGTAAAATTGTATAATAAAAAATAGTATTTTGTATTACAATCTTAATATTGTATTGACGAATATATAATATTGTTACCCTAAAAATTTGTTAAAGTAAATTTTACTATATTTTTTTGACTATCTAAAATTTACTATACATTTCTCTCCGTGTGCCGTGCAAAGCACAAATGTATTGAACAATATTAAGTAATGCATTAGTTACCACCTTTTTGCTTAGCACTGAAGTGGCACTTAGACGCTTTTTAATTACCACGCTTCAATTAACCATTTTGTTTTTTTCTCTATACCAATTGTTTTGGCATTGATTTTTTCCATTGCGTTTACCAGATTTTAAGTGACTTTTACATAATATGCATATTATGCCACTTTTTGCGTTTTATATAGCCAAACCACAGAAATTTATGTGGGCTTCACCTAGGCGATTTAAGAAAATGATTTAGAAAAATTTGATATTACCCGATATAACCCAAATTTTATTTAGTTGAAAATATTAATATGTCTATGGTATCATATATTTGAAATCCCCCACTTATGAACTGACTATTTGTGTATGCCCGCAGCGACACCTACAAACAGTTAGATTAACTTTCTGCAGAACTCTATATCTGATATTAATTAAATATTGAAACTAATTTATAAGTTCAAGTTAGTGTTTGAAAAAGCAGTGGCGCGTATTTACTTTTAAAAATGTTTAACCATTTGTTCAATTTTAGTAAACAAGTGCCAACGGCTACGCCCACATGCGTCGAGCTTCGCCAAGTTATAACGCGCGGCCTGTAGCTAACATTAGATGGTATGAAGCCAAATATTTTTCAGAAATATTTAGCTTATTTTTATCAAAAAATTTAATTTAACATATTATTGCAGTGATCTCTATTTATATTGAAAAAAGTAGGGATGCACCGGATTTGATTTTGGCCGGATTACCGGATGCAGTAATCCGGCTTCATCGGCCGGATTAACTCCGGCCGGATTTTGGCGGATTTCGCCGGAGTCGGCCGGATCTTACATATTATATTAGTTAAAAAATAATATAATTATACATATATATATATATATATATACAGGGTGTTTCATAATATATGCGCAGGACTTCAGGATGTGATAGCTCATCCAAAAAGATGAAAAAAGTCGCTATTAACTTACCCTCTAAAATGCACAATTTTCGAGATACAGGGTGTTAAAATCGTTTTTTTCGAATATCTCCGGAACTGTTTATCGTACAAAAAACAGCTTTTGTAAGCATTTTTTACTCAAAATAAGCTATGTTTTGTGCAAGAAAAAAAATTTTTTTTACTCATAATTGGTGGAGATTTTGAAGGGGTAGCGGGTGTTTTTCTCCTCAACTTCTACGCCCCTGAAAAATGTACGGTTTTGAGAGGCCCATTCGAACCGCCAATGTTTTCTACACAAAAAAGGTACTCTTGGTCATAAGCTCTAAAGTTGACCGTTTTCGAGAAAAATCAACTTTTATGTTTAAAAACATGGTCAATTTAAAAAAAAAATAATTTTTTTTTACTAATTAAACAAAATTTATTTTAACGTTAGAACAAGTAACAAAACCAAACCATAATTGCAAAATAAAAAATGATTCAAAAGTTGTCTTTGCTAAATTCTCCAAACCGTAAAGGTAACGCATTTCGAACATTTCAGCATTTGTGTAAAAAATCATTTTTTTTTTTTTTTTTATTTTGCTATTATCGTTTGGTTTTGTTACTTTTTCTAACATTAAAATAAATTTTGTTTAATTAGTAATAAAATTTTTTTTTCAAAAAATTGAACATGTTTTTAAATATAAAAGTTGATTTTTCTCGAAAACGGTCAACTTTAGAGCTTATGACCAAAAGTACCTTTTTTGTGTAGAAAACATTGGCGGTTTGAATGGGCCTCTCAAATCCGTACTTTTTTCAGGGGCGTTGAAGTTGAGGAGAAAAACATCCGCTACCCCTTCAAAATCTCCACCAATTATGATTAAAAAAAAATTTTTTCTGGCACAAAACATAGCTTATTATGAGTAGAAAATGCTTACAAAAGCTGTTTTTTGTACGACAAACGGTTCCAGAGATAATCGAAAAAAACGATTTTTTTTCTAAAATTTCAACACCCTGTATCTCGAAAATTGTGCATTTTAGAGGGTAAGTTAATAGCGACTTTTTTCATCTTTTTGGATGAGCTATCACATCCTGAAGTCCTGCGCATATATTATGAAACACCCTGTATAATATATATATAATATATATATATTATATATATATACCACAGACCTGTGATATATACGTATTATATACGTATACGTATTATTATAGCTATTTTTGTGACATCGGCTGTTCTGGTTTTGGCTTCGCCTCGATCGCAAACAGCTACGATTTGTCCTAAAAAACATGATTTTTAGGTACTGGTTGCAAACAACATTTTTTTGTTCTAGGTCCATATATTCAAATTTTTAAATAGAGTAAATACCTATTTCTCGAAATTAAGGTTATTGACAGTGACAGTGAGTCACTGTCAGTGACAGTTATCGAATTTTATTTTTAATTGTTGTATTGCAATAATTCAAGAACCATTTTGCAAAAGTTTCCATAGCAACTTTTTCGTACTAGTACAAAAAAAGAATTATTTTACGGACTCAAATGAGTTCGTTAAATAGCTATTTTAGGGGAAAAAACAAAAACATATATATTTATCAATAAATAAAAGTTTTTAAAACCAATAATATATTAAAAAGTATATCTTTATAAAACGTTTAAAAAAATAATAAATAGGTAACATAAAAATAAATAAATAATATTTATTATTATACCTAATCTAAAAGTTATAACAATTAAAAAACATAGGTACAATATTGTATTAAATAATTATAATAGGTATAATACAACCATCTGAAACCACTGCGCATACGTACGGCGTCTGTTACTTAGTGCGCATAGATACGATCACCTGTTAACTGCGCATAGCCGATTTCTTCCCGAGAAAGGTGAACAACTCGAGTTTTTGCACTATAACTTAAGGACTTCGTTATCTTATGTTCGCTTAAATCATGAAGTTTAATCCTTAATCTATTTTTAAATTATTTCTAAAAAAATTGTTTGTTACTTGTAAAAGAATATATATTTTTTTTATAATAAACATTTGAAAAAATATTTTATTTTTAATTTAAAAAATCCGGCCACAATCCGGCCGTTGTTGCCGGATCAGTTTAAAAATTTGGCCGGAGCCGGATATGCTGCTGCATAGGCCGGATCGGCCGGAGGCAGTAGGTGAGCAGTAACTCCGGTGCATCCCTAGAAAAAAGTTTAAAATAATTTTACTGCCTAGCCTGGCTTTGTTTTGCCGTAGAAATACCTACTTGCTCGTTCCTATAGAGGCGGTAAAATTCAACTTTACCATTGTGTGGAAAGAAAAATTATTTTATTTTTCTTCTGTTATTTTTTGTTATCTGATTTTGTTATGAGGAACCAATTATAATTTCCCACTATTAGTTTATCTAAAAATCCCTAATTGCGCCGCTTTATGCACTTAATTTTTTGGTCGTCAAGAATGTCAGATGGTTACCAAGATTTTTCGGAAAAAAGTTCGAATGCAATAAAGTCCATAAATGGAAAGATAAGTGTCAATAGGTTGAACTCTATGGGTTGAACAGAAGACGGGATTATCTTAATTGTGTGTTAAATTTATCATAAATTGCCTTTCAAAAGGTTGGCATTGAATAAAATTGTAACTAAACTATTTTTTTTTTAATAACAGGCAAGACAGGTACTGGACACAGAGTTTAACAATTTGCTGCACATCGCGACGGAGCGTCGGCCCGAAGACATCAGATCCTGATACGAGGCAGAACTGAAATAACACATGCTTACGACATACTATTAAAACAAGCGAAAGCCGCGGGCAATGCCAAATATATAAATTATTATGAGCAGACCATGTAGTGTTCGACCGCGTTTTTGCGGCCCCATGACGCCCACACTACACCTATCTCCCCGAATCCCCCATCCCTCTCATTCGCTGCTGATCATTTGTACAAAAATATCCAATTAAAGAAAGCGAGCTTTAATGAACCTGTATCGTGAATGACTCGAGATTGCAGACGGGCTCTCGACACTACGATCAATTTACTCTGGTGGACATGCGAAATGGTCCGCTCCACCAACTATATTTTTGTGTGTGTTTGTCCTTCTATCTTTATTTTGTTGTTGTTAGTACAAATAGGGGACATGAATGGAGCGTTCCAATTTTCATGTCACCTGGTACATATCAGGTATGTAGCATTCACTAATACTATTATTACCCTTACATATCTAGTGAAATTATTTAACCCAATTAATAATATTCAGTGCCACTAATTGCGGTGTTTAGCTTTGGGACGTAGCAGTGTACACTGAAAGACGTCTTTCTGTCAAGAGCCCAATCGCAGATCCCCTTATAAATAACTTAAATAGTATTATTAATAATTATTGTACATTGAAGTTGTTGTTTATTTGTTGGACTACTATCGGCGAGTATATTGTTTAATGTGACGGCTAGCGATGGTCAGTATTAATCCCGCGCGTGCCTGCCTCCACCAGGTGCTGTCATTTGTTGAGCTTGTAGACATGATTTTTATTTGCAAACATGTTTTTCAAAACAAAAAATCTAATCTGCCTTCTATCTATACCTAACTACTCATCTGATATGCCTTGGAGGTTTTTATTTCAGGATTATAACACTTAGCACTTTTTTTAATAGACTGATCTGCATTTTTTTTGGGGGGACAAAATCAGTAGCACAATTTTAATTAAAGAATATTTACTGTGAATGAAAAGCTGGAAATGTACAGGATTCTGAATATTTCGATATTAAAAATTTAAAATTCTGTTATGTAATGTAAATGCAGGTACATAATTTTCGGGAATTCAGATTTTAATTGGAATAAAAAGGCAGGAAATCCAATAATTTTGACTTTAGGCCACAAACACATGTGTTCTTATTAATTATGGTTAAAAATACATAAGGGGCCATCCATAAATCTCATGACGCTGGTGAGGGTCCGTTACGTGATAAAGTAAATCGAATGAAATTGTTTATTTGTTCAATTTTTAGTTAGCTTTATTATATCGTGTAACGGAAGGGAGTTGGGGTGATCGATAAAGCATCACATGACCCTTCACAATGAAGGGGGGTCAATTTTGACTATTTTTTACGTCACGAGATTTATGGACGGCGCCTTAAAGCGTATCTAGTTTTTAACAACTTTTAGGGTAGCGGTTTAAACTTATAATTTTAAGTTTATTACGTTTTAAATAGTATAGTCACTTTTCTTTAATTTTTTTCTCGTAAATAATTTCTAAAACTAGATACGCCTTTACGTATTTTCAACGGAGATATAATTTTATGCATTGATTTTTGATATGCCACCATTTTGCATTATTTAAGATGTATAGGAATTTTATGAATATTTGGATAAGCAGAATATATATTTGTAATATTCAGTAGACACCCTGAATTATAGTAAATTTTTTGTTTTAATATTTTTACTTATTTTTAATAAATTACAAAAAGCATTTAAAACCTTGATTAAAAATGCTGTGATATTACTAAAAAATGTATTTTATTTGAAAAAATTAGTGCAAAAAACTTATTGTGTCCCCCTCTGTAAATTTATAGTCTGTAGTTTTGACGTTATTGCAAAAACTTTGTGTCAATATTCAAAATAATAATAATACAAGTTGTTTCTTGTGTAATGGCAATAATCTTTTATTTTGTATTTATTCCCAGCTAACGAAATATTTGTTGGCTTAACCGTTTGACACAAATTGTTTGCAATTTCCTATGTGTTCAGTACCCAGTCTCATGTGAAGCTTTTGGATGTGGATGGTGCATTGTATTTAACTCCCACCCATCTCGTTTAGCGCAAATCTGATTCGGAGCGACAGTTGTTTTCATTTTATTCCATAAACGTATTATATTCAATACCACAGCAGTCATTAGTCATAACTCTCTGTATATATTATACAGATTATACATATATGTTTTTATTGGTATTAAGTATGTTTTATACAAAGTTTGTAATATATTTTTAACTTGTTATTTATTTTTCAATTTAGATATAGAATTGTGCTATACCGTTATTAGCATACAGCTCTGGATTAATGTTTTTGGCATATTTAATTGAATTTCAAAAAAAGATTTCAAGGAAATGTCCAAAACTAAATCCAGATAATTGCAAAATTTTCCCGGGAATGAATGTCATTATTTTTATTTGGTAAAAATATTACATAAATACCACTATTATTTAATAACAGTGTTATTTATGTATAAACATCATCATCATCATCTAAGTATAACGAAACGTGGAATTTTCTTTATTTTTCACATTTAATAATTTCTTAGAATCCCTGCTAAGCAACTTAATTTGCTTTGTTTATTACAAACTCATATAAAATTAAAATATCCTATCTAAACTTTTTGTTTAGATGGAATAAAGTAAAGCAAATACATAGTTAAGCCAAATATACATAATATTTGAGTTCAAATATATTTCAATTAAGTAAAAATTAAGTAAAAGCATTAACTTCAATTTATTTGTGAAGACAATTTTGTTAAAAATTGTTAAGTTTGTTGTGTAAATGAATTTTCATCTTAGCAATTTTTAACACTTGCGGTTACAGTTAACTAGTCAAATCAAGTTTGTTGTGTAAATGAATTTTCATCTTAACAATTTTTAACACTTGCGGTTATAGTTAACTAGTCAAATCAATAAAATCTAGTCTTTATTAATAAATTTGTATATAGCCATATATGGTATATTGGTATACTTATAAATAAATGTAATAAAGTTGGTAACTTTTTATACAATACTATAGTATTATAAGACTAAAAATAATACATGTAATAAACAAAGCAAATTAGTATAGGAAATACATCCTAAAATAATACATGTAATAAAAAATGCATATTCATATTATATTTTTTTTAGCGAAACTACTTCATAAACGTTATATCATAGTATTTTATGTATTTATTTTTAGTGTCTTTTTGACACCAGAATTATTACTGTTTTGTAATAATAGTTGTTACCTCATATTTTTAATGACTGTCAAACCTAGTACAGTTAATTCTAACATAAATATAAATAAAATTAAAAAAAATATTTGCTTGGTTTTACTTTTAGCCTAACAATTAAATCTCTTTAATTTTATTTAAGGCACTTGATTTTTAAATTTGTTGGTTTTATCTCTTATGTTTTTGCAGTGCTGGTTTCTATTTAAAAAAAATTGTGTACAATTATGAAAAACTATACAGGGTGTCCCAAAAGTCAACGATATCATTTGAAGGACTGACAGCCCAACTCATGACCAATCAGAAAAACTAAACATGACCTTGGTAAAAAATCGCTAGTTTTTGAGATAACACCTTAGATCGGTTTTTCTAATGCCAAAGCTAAAAAATTCCATATTCTAAGATTATATTTTATGTTGTACAACCCTTAATAGGCCTGCTATTGATTACGGTGCAAAAAATAACAAATTGTACTTTTTTACCTTTTGAAAACAATTTTGCCCGGTTTTATAAATTTTTTTATTAGCTTTGACTGTAAAAAATATGACACGCTAACTTTGCAAGATATTTTAAAAATTTGTTAATTAAGTTTACTTTTTAAAATGGTATAACATGGTGTTCTTTAAAGAAAAATATACAGTGGCAGCTCGTGATCTATGATAAAGTAGGTTCACAAATTTAAAAAAGCAGCAAGGATTTTTTTGTGGCTGGCACAAATATGACTTTTTTAAGCTTTAAAAACAATAAAAAATATTATATTAAACATTAAAATATGTATGTATTAAAGAAAGTACAAAATGCTAATTTATATTTATTTATTGAGTACCTACAGTGTTTAAACGCAAAGTACATTCTTCTGTCCTTGTTTGCAGCAAACGTTTCAATCACAGCCTCATTACTATTGTTAAAATATTAATAATACGGGCTTGTTCAATAGAGCGGAACATTTCTGCGCTTTCATTGGCGGCTTTAAAAGTTAAATAACTCTTACAATTTTGCAAATTCAAAAGAAAAAATGGTAATTTGTGGAATTTCAAGAGAAATTTACCCTTTGGTCCGCCAACTTTGGGTCACCCTGTATTTCAAGTGTGCTCATGGTATGGCGTTAGTGCGCCATTTTTATGTCCCCTTAATAATAATAATTAAAATATTTTTGACGCTGTCAGATTTTATTACAAAAAGTTATTTTTTTTATTTACTATAATTGTTACATTGCATAAAGTTTGTGGATCAACAAAATATGTATTTTAAACGGCATACTCTAATTACAAATGTAAACAATTAATAAATAAGTCTTGTGATACAACAAGCTATAAATCTGTAAAAATCGTCACAAAATAAATATGTACTAATTGTAAACAGTAGACAACATTTAAGTGGTAAACATGGTGCGGGCTTGGTACTTAAATGAAGAAGAAATTAAAAATGTTAAAGAAATGAATTTATCATTACCACCTAAATATGTGGATTTGGAAGATCTGTACGCACTTTGCGGTGCGGAGTTTTATGAGGTAAAAATTTAATTTGTAATAGGGTAATTTTATACAATACAATCATCACGGCTCCAAGTTGCACTATGGTCTAGAAGGGGAATTTAACGCGAATTAATTAGAAGCCCAGTTAAAATGAACTCTAGTGGCTGTAGGACAATTTAAAAACGATAAAGTAATATTTTGGACTGTATTTGATTATGAATGAAAAAATAAACACTTTTAAAAACAAAAAAAAATGCCCAACTAAAAAATAATCAGCATCATTTTATCTAATGAATCATGTAGAGTCTAGAGAGTGCTGCTCTACTTAAAATCATCGATTAAAACCAATAAAAACTTTTGTGTCATTTTAAATTGTGTTTTGGTATTGGGATAAATCTTAAAATTATATTATATCGAAAATTTTAAATAGAAAATAATATTTTAAATTGTAAGTTACATAAGTTTTATCAGTTTTTTTAAATATAACTTCAACTATGGTAGACTTGAAAAGGTGATATTTTTAGAACATCTACTCTCTACTAATACATATATTTACAATAATTACAATTGTTTCTGCTCCGCGCCCGGCGTTTTGATAAGCGGACCAGGCATTTTTGTGAAATGACATTTTTTCTATAATTTTATAAATAAATATGGGGTTTTCAACATGGAAACTTTTTTTTAAGCCACGCGAAAATTTCTGTATTGTTTTGGCCATTCGCACATATTATGAAACAAAATTACACACTTTTATAAAAAGTAATTGCAAAAATATATTTTTCTACTCCCACCTTTAAAACGCCCTTTATTGTACATGTTTTCATGACACTAAGTGACCTTTTAAATACACATTGAGAAGTTGTGGCTTTACGGCGCTTTAGTCACGGGCTGAAGTTAGCAACAGGTTTTTAGTCACGGGCTGAAGTTAATTTTAAGTTAGTTGTAATGTCATCCTACAATCGTTAAAATAAAGTGCCTTTCTTGTAAAATAATACTAAATGTGAAAATTATTTTATTATCGCAATACAAAAATACAAAAATATTAAATAGTTTCTCAACGCCAATATTTGAAAAGTTTATATGAACATTGTACTGACCTTTTAGTTTCGCCGGCAGTAAACTATAACTTAAATTCAGGCACCGACTCTACTGTAAAGTCCTTATAAAACATTTCCTTTACTTTCACTGTGAAAAACTGTCAATTTTCAATATACATTTCGATTTATAACCTTTATAATTGTGTTTATAAAATGTAAAAATGTGACATTTGACAGTTTCCCCTGTTGTTTCATAGATGGCGCTCTACACAAATTTTTGATTTAAATCATTTTAAGATAATAATAAGTATTTGTCGTAGAAAAAGTATAGTATGCACCTCGTTTATAAACTTTTCTATACACTCATTAATTTAAGAACTCGCTCGCAAGCTCGCTCGTGCCTAAATTAAATTCGTGTATAAAATGGCGTTTATCAAATTTGATACATAATATACTATTACGTTATAAATTATAATTCAAGTAATAATAATTTAATTAGGTTCCTCAAAAATAAAATTGCGTACGTACGTGATTATAATTAAATTCACGGTACACATCGTCATTAAATTGATTAAACTTAAAGAAAACGATACAGTACGTTTAATAGTATATTATTATGCGAGAGATAAAGTGCATAATCTCGAGAGTAATACTATACTTTATCTACTCCAATAAGTAGTTAAATGATTTTCAAAAATAATTAAATAAAATTTGACATCTGTCAAATGGTTATAACCTTAATTTTTACTAATTTTAAATGTTATTAGTCGCCTTCTCCCAATTTAAAATCTGATTGGTTCAACTCACGGTGAATATTGAAATCGGCCAATCACTGATTCCTAACAAAGTGAATAATGAGTTTATTATTTTCGTTGTTAGGCAGGGAATTCATAATGTTTCTGTTTTTATACAAAAAATAGTATATTATGTATCATGTTTAATAAAGGCCATTTTAGTCACGAATTTAAATTAGGTACGAGCGAGCTTGCGAACCAGTGTTTAAATAAATAAGTGTCTAGAAAAGTTTATAAACGAGTTACATACTATACTTTTTCTACGACAAATACATAATATTATCTTAAAAATGATTTAAATTAAATATTCCTATAAAGCTACACCCATTCGGAAATAAAGTAACCATATTAAAAATAGACGATATAGAAGCAGTTTTTAAAAGTAAAGAAAATGATTTATGGGCACTACAAGCAAAATTTGTAATGTTTTATCAATTAATTTAAGATTTAAATCTTGTTTAATGCACTACTTTTCAAATATTGGCGTCAAAAAACCATTTACAGGCCTCCCGCTAGGTCACTTTTATAGTAAAAAGTTACTTTTTGGTTGGTGCGGTTACTATTGGATACTTTTTGTTGGAAAAAGTTACTAAAGTTACTATTTCTGTCCAATTATTGGACTGAAATAGTAATATATTATATATTCTCTTATTTTAATATATCCCTGTATTAAGCATATTCACTTAAGCATATATGCGAAAATAATATACTTATAAAATTTTGTGATAAATAAGGAATTATTAACGATGATATGAATCCTATTCGGCAACCCAGCTGGCGCGAACATAACATTACACGCAAAGCGCAAACTGTCGGGTTTGTATCAAGATTAGAGATGTCAATCCCGGGATCCCGAAGAAAAAAACTGTCTCGAAAATACCGGGACAAGTTTACCTAATCCCGGGATTAATACCGATTTTGTATGCATATATTAATTAGCTTACTTACAATATTGCGTCATCTATTCACGAGCGAATGCTGTATGAGAGCAAAACAGTGCGCGTTTGATAGTGTTACGTTTTTTTTTTAAATGGGTGTTTTTTGACAAAATCGGTATAGTTTGTGGTGTTTTTTGAAAATAACTCGGACCAATGATATGTGTTTTTTCGACTTTGTTTTGTTTTTAGCGGCTAGTGTTACTGTTTTGACATCTTTGACGCAAGGTAATTAATCAATCAACATTCAAGTAGACCTTTTGCTAAAAGCAATGATTAAATATGGTATCGAATCATAATTGGCATTTCAGGCAATTACAAAAGTAACATGTTTAATGTATTATTGATACAGTAAAGTAACTCGAATTGAAAATGTTCAATTAAATTAGTACTCTTTGTAAAATAAATTGACAGTTTTACTCCTTAATTGGGTTTAAATTTATAATATTAAAATCACTTCTTGAATTTTTCTTATTACAATAATAATTAGGACCGCGGTTAATCATGGGCGCCGGCAGGGCAAACAAAATTATGTCCAAGTTCAAGTATCTACAGTTTGTGCGATTTAAGACCGCAACACCCCATTATTTTAAAACGCGTTTACCGATTTTTATATTTTTTGTTTTGACGTAGTACCTACCCTATTTGACCATGAGTGAAAATGTAAATTTTCTTTTTTCCAAGGCCTGCTAGGATCTGCAGACGTGCCTAAAAAACCTTTATACAAAGTTTAAGCTCAATACATTTGAGTATATTGATCTATACAAATGTTCTTTTTATTTTAATGTATTTTTTTGTCATTGAGAACCTTTGGTTTGTTTAGTGCAGGAACTATCTGACCAGGACACAGACAATGACAATAACGAACAAGACGAAGACCTCGACTAGGAAACTACACCCCTGCAGCGAAATAACAACTCCCAACTCCAAATAGTAATCCCAAATGTTTGGAGTAATACTAATCGACTGGTCTAGGGGGATTCCGCGTCGTACTTAGTTTTAAGTCGGCGTAATTGTCCCCCAAAAACCAACATACGTCTATCCCTCCCGTCCCTCGTCCTCTATACCCTACTGGGCGTATAGCATCGGCTCGGCGAACCCAAGAATGGCTATTAAAACTATTCGCATGTCGCTCTCGAGCCCCAAATAGGGGACAGTACGGAACGCAATGGACATTCGCACCCAGCAAACACGGGTGAAGCCGTGCAGTTGCTGGGGGCGAACAAAAATCGGCGTAAGTAAACATAGGCCTGTACGGGGTCCGGGAGTAATGAGGCAATGGGGCTGGTTATACGTATCTTATACTCATACTCATAGTCATACTCATACTCATATATTAATTAGCTTACTTACGCTATTTCAAAACTAAAGTAATTAACGCGAAAGCCGGCAACGTTGCAACCTGCAATCCGAAAACATGTCGCACACTTAAACCGGAATTTGGGGAATCACCGCGGCACAATAATTATAATTTACTCGCTTAGACTAGATATGCCCTCTGTGATTAGATGTTGTATTGATTATTCTTTTCAAAAACTTTCAAATTTGTTAGTTATTGTGTAAAATAGATCTCACGTGCCAAGAGGCTAATAAAGAAAAAGGTAGGTAATGCATGATTTTAATTTTAATACTAAAATAATGTAACGGTACCCGGAAAAAACTAATGGGAGTTTGGACTTGAAAATGTCTGTGTATTGATAAAAAGTTCTTCTGGTACTAAGAAAAAATATTGAACAGATTTCGAGCTATTAAGGTCAGAAGGTCACAAATCTAAGAGATGTTTTTCTTCTGGCTTTTTATGTAACAAAATACGCTCGAGGCTGGGAGATGAAATATGAGGCGCCGTTTGTCCGTAAATTATTTTTGCTATATACTGTAATGGTTCCGAAAAGAAACACCCTGTATAGATTTATTAGAAAACATGTTATTATAATTTTATTTTTCGAATTTTAAAATAGGATTAAGCTATAAAACTTTATTTGAAGGCAAAGAAATTTTACAAGTTTAGGCAGAAAATTTGCCAAACAAACAAGAGAGGTACGCGCTAAGCTGAAGGAAGAGTACATCTGGCATGCAGATTGGGGGAGGAATTTCCTTTAGAGGTAAACGAAAAAGTTTTTCGAAAAAGAGAGATGCGGCAGAAGCAGTTTGAATTCGGTGCAGTACAGTTCGTTTTCTTTGGTAAAATTGTAAAAGTAAATTATTGTTCTAAAATCATTGTTAAAAGTGTTATTAGTGTATTCTACAAGGTTAGTTCTAATTATTTAATC